ATATATATATATATATATATATATATATATATATATATATATATATATATATATATATATATATATATGACTCAGCTACATTATACTATGAGTATTTAACTTAAAGACTAGTAACAAACTTTAATCATAATCAGAGGTTTTTATTTATAAAAATAGGAGTAGTGATATAATAGCTTTAAATAATACCTAAACTCAATTGCAGTGTTTTAAAATGTGACATTTGCAGTAAAAACTTGAAACATAAATTCACAGAGAAAGTATATATTAACAGTAGATTAAAACATCTGATTATAATTTCCAAAACAATTCAGCACAGCGTTAAGGCATCAGAAAAAGACCAGTCTGTAAATGTGTTTTATATTTTAATTGAGGGAAATTAATATGAACGCATGGAAGTTTGCAGTATTTAACATATTTTGTGGTTTTTAAACTGCACAACCCAAAATATATAACACTAATCAAAAGGATTTTAGAAGATAGCTATTTATTTTGCATTCATGACGATTTCACATACATTACGGATGACATCAGATTTCGTGAGATTAGTAGTAGGTTTGACTTTGGTAAATAAAATAATAAAATTTAAATTGTTTGCATTTTTATTGTCTGTAAAATACTAAACAACTCTACACAAAACTAATGGTGCAGATGGAAAATAATTTTTTTTTTAAAGGTAAGGATGAAATTTACATGTAATCACTCCTATTTTTAATGCGTTTGTGTGCTTAAATCACTTTTATTTAATCATTTATACAATACAGATAGTTTCAAAGCATCTTTACTTGCAGAAATCTGTGATATATTAATAATTAGAGGCAAGTAAGGTTTACTCACCCACCCCACCAGACAGCCCATACATTGCAATGCACAGTACAACATGATCAAACCACATTATTGATAAAGTAAATGCATTCATAATCAATTTAGACTTGGAAATGTTCTCATTCATAGATCTTTTTACCTGTTGCAAATGATCTGTCAATGTATCCAAGCCATACATCTCTATCTGCATGTTGTTTATTGCTTATCAGAGTTAGAAATTAATCTCTTTGTCATGTCAGTGGTGTTTTCATGTACATTTATTAAGGTGCAGCAGGTGGTTAAAACATAAGATGCATAGAAGATAAGTTAGTAAATAGGCATTTTGTATGATTGCTGACGTAAAACAATGGGTTTATTTTACATGTCATACTAGTGATAGGGAGTTCAGATCTTTTCTGTGAACCAGATCTTCATTTCAATAAGCCGGTTCAAATGAACATGTCACCGCTCCATTTTATGCTTCAATTTTCATGATGATGTAAACATAACCTTACCATGTTGGTACTCAACATATCAAAAATATTAGAGATTCTCTGATTAGGATTTTTGGGACCGATTATCAATCACTTAAAGCCAAATCAGCTGAAACCGATGACAGGGTCTAATTTATGCCTTTTATTAATCATATTTTTCTAAATGTATTTAAGGAATTTCATATGACAACTGCGTTTCAGACCAACCTAAAACATAGCAGCATGTGCTTGATTAACCAATAAGAACAGTTTAGGGCAAACTAAAGATGCCCAAACTAGACCCTATGGGCCAAAGTTGGCCCATGATAACCTCTGATTTGGCCATCTCCTCTGAGAAAGAGGCAGAATGTTTGGTTTTTGACCCTTTTTAAGAAGAAGTTTGGGCACTGTTTGTTTAGAGCTTGACAAATACAGCTTTTCAGAAGAATATAAAAAAAAATTATGAAATGAAACAAATGTAGCTCTAGAAAACTTTAGGCAGAACTGGGGCTTTAGTGCATCAGGGAAATGTCATCATACCTTTTTATATATTAAAAAAAAAAAAAAAAAAAATATATATATATATATATATATATTAGAGCTGCATGATTCTGGCTAAAATAAGATTCATAATTTTTTTTTGCTTAAAATAAAGATTTTCTCACCTTTCTGTAGATGTAAAAATAAAGGCGGGTCTATCATTAAGTAGGAACCGCGTCCGCCCTCTCTGTGGTAGCAGCTTACGGTCAGCAGCTCATGTCACATGTGATTTCCTGGCCGCGAATACAGCATTATATGAAGACAAAAATGACATTTTTAGGTGAATTATACCTTAAAAATACAGTATGTGACTATTTCAACATTATTTGGAGGTGTCCATGTCACTGAGCAACGTGTGTGTGAAACAGTGAAAAGACTTGTGCAGCCGCCTTTACTTCTCTTCTGAACCTGAAAATATGATTGACAGAATCGGAGAAATAATACAAAAGTTGCTGTTGTTGTTAATATTGCTATTACTACTAGTAAAGGTAGTCTACTACTACATTTTGTAGAGTGTACGGTTCAATTCAGCTCCATGATTGAATTCTGCACAGACAAACCATCTCATCAAAACCAAAAGAAGTGATGACACCTCCGTTCACAGTAATTTGAGCGCTGCTTGCCTTACAATTTGAATATGTTTGGGTTTTTTATGCTGCTATGAGGAACATCTGCCTTTTACACAATGTAAAGTGTAAAGACACGATACTGCATCTTTAAAGTGCTATATGAGTGTAGCCTACGCCTTAGCTCTCTGTAGCTCTGGCCCACGTGCACTGTTGCTTAGCAACCACAAATCATTAAAGTTCGCAAGTGAATGGATCTTAGTGAAAGAAGCGGCGCTCATCATGTTTTCAACACAGTTTTGGATGAGATATGTAAACGGCCCTAACAGCGTGGCTTGAGCACAAATTATAATATAAGAATGCACATCTTCAGCGTGACGTGGCACTGCCTGTTGAGTTCCCCTGCTTATGGATAGTATGATGCGATGGCAGCTGTTGCGTGAGCTCTTAAACAGGGAAAGTAAATAAATCATATTTTCCACTAATATCCACCGGGCACAGGCTACCGGTGAACATCCGGGACAATTGCTAGTTTTGCATCATGTGGAATCTGGATAGGCCTTCGTGGAGACCGCCGATCAAACTCCCCGAAGCTGTTATTGGCCAATCGGGATCGGTGACCGATTGATCGGAGAACCCTTAAAAAAATATATAGTCAGCAATCATAATTTCAGTCAGTTAAAGCATCACCATGATCTGAAAAGTTCCTTACTATTTAACTTTGCAACCTAAATGAAGCATGACTCACTTATTTAAATACCTTGATGATTAATTTTTTTTTTTTGCCAGATCCTCTCATTTAAGCTCTCGGTTTATCCTCACGCAGATGTCTAATTTTGGTTCAGTCACAGTCTGTAGGCTGTCATGTAGTGTTTGTGTTTGGTTCATCACCTGCTGAATCACGCAGATGAAGAATTTCCCGTTTCGCATTTGTTTTTACTACTACTGTTGTTCCATGTTCTCTTTCAAACTTGTGTTGAGATATTAAGAACCCTTTAAACTATAAGGTTTGTTTTAACTATAGGGTTTGTTGTTCATGTGACTTTTCCAGATGTGTGTGCATGACATTATGCAAGTCTAACGTCAATTCATGTGTATTTTGAGTTGCTTAATTTTTTTATGATTGAATGAAGGTAGAACGTCTTGGCTTAAGCTTGTTTTGTTTGTTTTTTATCAAATTTGTTTAATGTTGGTAATTTTTACTTAAACAAAATCTCTCAAAACATTTATGTAATTATTATTATTATTGTAAATTACGACATTTAACATTTAAGGCAAAATATATAAAAAATTTAAACTATAGTTAACTTTAAATAAAGACTACACTATATAGCGAATATGTTTGTGTGTGAATTTCTTGCATTCTGAAATTTATACTTGCGGGAGTAATTTAATTGATGCGCGATTCCTGCAATTACACACCAAATTTCGAGCCCTGCTTTATACAGCTTCGAAGAGCCGGAACAGTTTTTAATTACAACTGCGATTGTGTCCGTCTGAAAATGGAATGTGAGATAACGTCTAGGATGCATTCAAGGTGAGTAAATCATGGGTTAATTCTAGTTTTTGTGTGAACTGTTCATTTCATTTACATTTAAATGTCTTGTGAAACGCTTTGGGAGGGTCTGGGAAAAAAAAAAAACTAAACTAAACACAAGTTTAGAAGAGCTGCCTGAACACTTGACTGGTGCAATGTTATAAATAATTCCCGTCTAAAAAAATACCTTTTTTTTAATTTTATAAGTCTGTGACCATATTTTCTTCTGCATATCAGAGTCACACGTATCTGTTGTGGGGATTATAATAGATTGCCGGTGAACGTCCTGTCAGCTAACTGTATGCAGACGTGTGGCCAGTGGTGGATGGAGGAAGCTCATGAAAATTATTGTCTTAATTATGACGTTTTCACCTTACATAAGTGATATTAATTCATTGAAATGTTTAAGTTTGCTGAGTTTATAATGTTTAAGTTTGCTGAGAACCATTTTATACACACACATCTTTGTAACACAAGTTGTAAATATACGGTTTTGTAGTTTTCGGTTGACCTAAACTGCATGTCTTTAGACTGTATAGGACACTGAAGTACCACACAGAACTTTCTTTTCTTGCCAGGTCAGACAACAGGTCAAACCTCTAAGCTGCTCTTAATGCATAGAAATATTACTTGTGTATTAAAGTTAAAAATGGTAATAAAGAGATAAATATGCTTTTAAAATACCTGAGTGGAAATGAAGATAGCCCGACCCTCCTTTTAAATAAGTGTACCAAATTGTTAAAGTACAACAAATTAAGCCCCATTTAGATTACATGATTTTGTCCTGGGTGTTTGTAAATGTCTACTGAGCTTTAGGATGCAAGATTCAATAGTTTATTCTTGTGTGGTGTTTCAAAGTACCTGTCAGAGATGTCATGTCGCTTCACATTGACGCTTCCACACAAAATCCAGCATGTTCACATGCGGTTATGTTGATGATTAAGAGCACAGAATCTCTTTTCTACACCGCTTTTAAAATGGTAACATTCTTCTATGAATACATTTTTTTAATGGTAACTGGTTTTCAGTAAGATTTCTGCTGTTACAGTTCAGAAAACACACTCTAGACCAAGGGTCACCAATCTCGTTCCTAGAGGTCCTGTTTCCTTCAGGGTTTAGCTCCAACTTGCCTCAACACACCTGCCTGGGTGTTTCAAGTATACCTATTAAGACCTTGATTAACTTGCTCAGGGGTGTTTGATTAGGGTTGGAGCTAAAATCTGCAGGACAGCGGCTCTCCAGGAACAAGTTTAGTGATCCCTGCTCTAGACCAGGGGTGTAGAGGTCTGCATGGGACTAATTTTTTAGTCCTGCTCCTGCAAGGTTTTATTCCGCACCCGACCCATCCTGCCATATATTCAGCCTTTTATCACCTGCTGCCCACTTACGATAATTTTCTACCTGACCATTGGAGCTAAATTTAAATCAGGTGTCCAAAATCTTACGTTTATGGTTACTACCAAAAGAGAGAGATAACAGGTAAAACTTTGCAAGGATTTTCAGGTTTAGGTTGTGCAAGGATTGTCTGTTTTGTTTGCCCTGTTGTGTTGAGACATGAGTACTGCCTTAAACCTGAGGTTCCAGTCTTGTGACTGCTAAAGGATAAAACTCTGAGGCATTATAACATCGAACAGAGTATTTTTTTTCCATTAGCATCTTTTCCGTTTGTAAAAGACTCCCATACATCAGACTTGCCTGTAGTGGGTTCCTAACAGTAAACTGACCATTTTCTAATGCAAGCTGAAGGACAGTGCATCTTCACTTTGCTCTCGCATGTTGACAAAACCCAATCTAAGGACGTTTATGCAGATGTTACATGCACAGGGCGAAAAAAAAAAACACATGCAGAAAGCACTGGTTGTACCGGTGCTCAACAAGATTAAGGATAGCTGTTCCGAAATAACATTGGGACTAGGGAACGTTATATTCGTATCCCAATTACTCCCATTCAAACTACACCAAAGTTAGGTCCCACAGCTCTCATGGTGCAACCGCAGGAATGCAAACCTCTACATTGTTCCTGAAAATCTACCCTCTTGCCGAGTTGAGCTCCAACCCTGAAACCCAGCTAAACTAAGTAGGATTTGAAGGAGCACTTGGTAATTAAGGACAGATGTGTTTGGTCAAGGTTGCAGCTGAACTCTGCAGGAAGGTAGATCTCCAGGAGCACTCCTGCTCTAGCAAGTTACCGTGACATTTGTAATGTATGCTGCTTCTTGATGACAGGATGCGTGTTGTACACATCATGTGAGGATTGAACATGAACCAACATCTAGTCTGGCATATTTGGTACCCACAACACATTAGGAGTTTATCTAGACCAGGGTTGCCCAAACTGTTCTGGAGGGCCGGTGTCCTGCAGAGTTTAGCTCTAACTTGCTTCAACATACCCATCAGGATAATTCTAGTATACCTAGTAAGAGCTTGATTAAATTTGTTAGGTGTGTTTGATTAGGGTTGGAGCTAAACTCTCCAGGACACCAGCTCTCCAGGACAGAGTTTGGGCATTTCTGATCTAGACAAAATAGGATAATTTGAAAGATTGACTTCTAACCAGAGTTGTAACTGACAATAAAAATGATGTAATCGAAACGGGGCTTAAAATAGAGACAATTCAGATACACAGAATTTGTTTGTGGTTTGTTCACTGTTTTAATATTTTATACGCACACGATGCTGTGTGACTGCGCAGAACTTCATCTGCCAGTGTGTGTCTGTGCAGTCTGTGTGGTGTTAAGCTCCCACATTTCTAGTTCTAGTTAGCTTTAGTTTAGTTCCCTGATTTCCTATTCGGTTCATAAGGCTAAAATAAATTAATGTTTTCTGTTTTGTGTAATTTCTTTTTAAAGGTGGCTCTTCTGTGTGGAATTCATGCAGTTTTCTCAGAAACAGTGTGACTGTAAGTAACTGCATTAATATTTCAACAAATTACTTCTATGTAGTTAATGAAACTCAAGTATTTGAAGCTAACAGGACAGATCAGACCTACATGATGAATTTGTGTTTTTAGTCATCCTTGTTTTCAGTCTCATACTCATAATCAATTAAAGATTAAGCTAATACTGCTCCCTACAAATAATATTTTACAGGATTTACTTGAAAGTTGGGCAGATGAATTTTCATCAGGTGAAGAGTTTGATCCTGAATCACAGTCTGACTTGAACTCAAAAACTGAACTGCATTTAGAAAGGTCTATCAGCAACACTACTGAGAACTCTCTGGAGCCTTGCATGACCACTGAGAGGAAGTCCTCTAGCCTGAACGTCACAGGAGATTCACTCATTCACAATCTGTCCTCCTCACCTGACTTAAGCCCCGGCAGCATCACTAAAGCAGAGGATGAGAACACCACAATTAAAACAGAAGAGAGAGATGCATCTATCCCAGAGGATACAGCGAGTGATTCAGTCTCGTCTTCAAAGGGCATCACCACTAAAGGTGGTGAAAATTTCTGTTTTGTTTGTGGAAAGCCACAAATCAAAATAGCTCGACATTTTAAAGTGCATAAGCATGAAAACACCGAAATTGCACGAGCACTCAGTTTACCAGCTCACTCCAAGAAACGAAAGGAATTGCTGCAGATGTTGCGAAACAAAGGCAACTTTATGCACAACAATGATGTGCTGAAGAAAGGATCGGGTGCCCTGAAAGTTAAACGCCGTTCTGTAAAACGAACCGCAAACAAGTACACGTACTGTGTTCATTGCCGGGGGATGTTTGTTTGCGAGGTACTCAAGAGGCACATGAAGAATTGCTCAGCCAAAAGAGTCCATCAGGAAGCACTGGGAGCACAGGGTCCTGCTGAAGTGGCCAACGCTGCAATTCCAGGTACTGTATCAGATAGACTAAAATGTCTCAGAGGTATTAAGATAATGAAGTGTGGTTTAATATAACTCATGCAGGGTTTTTGTGGGTTCTAAAAAGTCTTGAATAATCTTTCCCTAAACAAGTCTTAAATCAAAGCAGCAAGTCTGAAATTCCCATGAGCATGGCATTCATTTACTTAAGGAGTTACTTTCTTGTATTTTAAAGTAAGGTCAAGTGTAATTTCTGCAGTTAGGATCATCTTTGGCACCTTTCGTGTTCACCATACTGGAGAATGAGCTTTATTACTGCTTTTAATCAGGATGTCATCCGTCTGTGGGATGCACCGCGCATATAATAATATGGTAACGTTTAGCCCTTTCATGTATTTGTTTATGTGTAAGGGAACTGCAATCGATGAACAAAATGAATTTGGCTTTTGAATACATGGTGCATGTGCTGCAGGAATGAGTAGCGGCAGTGTGTGAAACTCTTCAGAGACTGATCTAAATTAGAGACGTGCTTACGTTTTTTTTATTGTACCCATTTATCATCACTATAAAACAATTTTGCTAGTATGAGCCTGAATGCTTCAGGTTACTCCTAAACTACAAAACATTTGAACTGATAAAATAAAAAATAGCAATTGTGTGAGCAACTATCAAATATTTAAATCAATACTTATTATATTTGAATTCTTGTCACTTTGTAATGTCTGCGGAGTTTATCAAGAGTAATTATTGACAGCACTGTCATAGAGGTATATAGATATTCAAAGGGTATGACCAGATGGCAGAAGTGATTTCTTCAAATTAAGTGGTTAAATCAGAGATATCGAAGCCTTAATATCGTGTAAACTTAATTTAAACGCAAGTTCCATAAATCTTTTGTGTTTTTGCTTTGATATTTTGCTAGTTCAAATCTTTATTGCTCCTTAGACATCATTTGTAGTTCTCAACATATTTTTTGTTTTTTTATTTTATAATTTCTTAAGTTGGTCTTAAAAGGTCTTTAAAGAAAGTCTTAAATTTTCCCTGATAAATCTTGCTAATCTCTGTGATGTCCTTAATTGTTTTCCCAATTTGGAAAGATTTACATTAAACGCTGTTCCTTTTAAACTGCTCATTCCTTAAATATTACCAAACCATTATCATTCCAACATCGCAGTCACATGTAACTTCTGTGGGGATGCAGTATCTTGCAGCTGTTTTCTTTCTGCTTTTGTGTAATTGTTTTATTTTTCCTTTTAGTGTGCTCTTCTGTGTCTGAATCACACAGTTTCCAGAGTGTGCCTGTAAGTAACCTTTCACACATCATTCTGCATATATACAATAAAGATTAAACCAATAATGCTGTATGCGATTAATTTTCTACAGGATTCACCTGAAAGCCTGGACAAAGATCTGTTGCTAGGTAACAAATTTGATCCTGAATCACAGTCTGACTTGAACTCAAAAACTGAACTGGATTTAGAAAGGACTATCAGCAACACTATTGAGAACTCTCTGGAGCCCTGCATGACCACTGAGAGGAAGTCCTCTAGTCTGAACATCACAGGAGATTCACTCATTCACAATCTGTCCTCCTTACCTGACTTAAGCCCCAGCAGCATCACTAAAGCAGAGGACAAGAACACCTCAATTAAAAGAGAAGAGAGAGATACATCCATCCCAGAGGATACAGCGAGTGATTCAGTCTCGTCTTCAAAGGGCATCACCACTAGAGGTGGTGAAAATTTCTGTTTTGTTTGTGGAAAGCCACAAATCAAAATAGCTCGACATTTTAAAGTGCATAAACGTGACAATGCTGAAATTGCACGAGCACTCAGTTTACCAGCTCACTCCAAGAAACGAAAGGAATTGCTGCAGATGTTGCGAAACAAAGGAAACTTTATGCACAACAATGATGTGCTGAAGAAAGGATCGGGTGCCCTGAAAGTTAAACGACATTCTGTAAAACGAACCGCAAACAAGTATACATACTGTGTTCATTGCCGGGGGATGTTTATTCGGGAGGAACTCTGGAGGCACATGAAAAAATGCTCAGCCAAAAGAGACCATCAGGAAACACTGGGAGCACAGGGTCCTGCTGAAGTGGCCAAGGCTGCAATTCCAGGTACTCTATAGGTTAGATTTAAACTTCTTTGAGGTATAAAAGAGGCATTAAAGCTTTAACATATTTTGTAACTTAGTAAAAAAAAGATCTAACTTGCTTTTGTATTTTGTCTTGCTAGGAATCTAAATCTTTGTGTTCCCCAGACAGCTATATTTAGTTCTCAACATATTAGTATTGTTTTTCCTCTATTTTTTCCTTTATTTTTTTATATTTTGTCTTTAAAGAAAGCCTTAAATTCTTCCTTATAAATCCTTTAGAAAATCTGTCATGCCCTTGATGTTTCACCCAATTTGTAAAGTGCAATGTTGAAAAGAATAGTCTTAAACACCGTTCCCTTTAAACTGCTTATTTATTAAATATTTCCGAAAAATATCACTAGTCTTTGACCATTCCCCCCGCTGCTTATCAGAGTCGCATGTGAATTTTGTATAGGATTATGTCTTTAAGTTTTCCTATTTTTGATTTGTCTAATTAATTTTATTTTTCCTTTTAGTGTGCTCTTCTGTGTGTGATTCACAGAGTTTCCAGAGTAAGAGTGTGCCTGTAAGTAACCTTTCACACATCATTCTGCATACATATAATAAAGATTAAACCAATAATGCTGTATGCGATTCATTTCATACAGGATTTACCTGAAAGCCTGGACAAAGATTTGTTGAGAGGTAACGAGTTTGTCCCTGAATCACAGTCTGACTTGAACTCAAAAACTGAACAGGATTTAGAAAGGTCTATCAGCAACACTACTGAGAACTCTCTGGAACCCTGCATTACCACTGAGAGGAAGTCCTCCAGCCTGAACGTCACAGCAGAAGATTTGCTCATTCACAATCTGTCCTCTTCACCTGACTTAACCCCCAGCAGCATCACTAAAGCAGAGGACGAGAACACCACAATTAAAAGAGAAGAGAGAGATACATCCATCCCAGAGGATACAGCGAGTGATTCAGTCTCGTCTTCAAAGTGCATCACCACTAGAGGTGGTGAAAATTTCTGTTTTGTTTGTAGAAAGCCACAAATCAAAATTGGTAGACATTTCAAAGTGCATAAGCGTGACAATGCTGAAATTGCACGAGCACTCAGTTTACCAGCTCACTCCAAGAAACGAAAGGAATTGCTGCAGATGTTGCGAAACAAAGGCAACTTTATGCACAACAATGATGTGCTGAAGAAAGGATCGGGTGCCCTGAAAGTTAAACGACATTCTGTAAAACGAACCGCAAACAAGTACACGTACTGTGTTCATTGCCGGGGGATGTTTATTCGGGAGGAACTCTGGAGGCACACGAAAAAATGCTCAGCCAAAAGAGACCATCAGGAAGCACTGGGAGCACAGGGTCCTGCTGAAGTGGCCAAGGCTGCAATTCCAGGTACTCTATAGGTTAGACTAAAACTTCTTAGAAGTATAAAAAAGGGATTCAAGCTTTAACATATTTTGTAATTTAATACAAAAGAAAGTTAGGATTTTTTTTTTTACTTTTATGTCTTGCTAGGAATTGAAATCTTTGTGCTCCCCAGAAAGCTATATGTAGTTCTCAACATATTAGCCAATTTATGAAGTGCAATGTTAAAAAGATTAGTCTTAAATAAGCACTGTTCCTTTTAAACTGCTTATTTATTTAATATTGCCAAAAAAATATCATTAGTCTTTGACCATTCCCCCCGCTGCTTATCAGAGTCACATGTGACTTTTGTATTGGATTATATCTTTCAGTTTTCCTATTTTTGATTTGTCTAATTAATTTTATTTTTCCTTTTAGTGTGCTCTTCTGTGTGTGATTCACAGAGTTTCCAGAGTAAGAGTGTGCCTGTAAGTAACCTTTCGCACATCATTCTGCATATATATAATAAAGATTAAACCAATAATGCTGTATGTGAATAATTTTCTACAGGATTTACCTGAATGCCTGGACAAAGATTTGTTGCGAGGTAACGAGTTCGTCCCTGAATCACAGTCTGACTTGAACTCAAAAACTGAACAGGATTTAGAAAGGACTAACAGCAACACTACTGAGAACTCTCTGGAGCCTTGCATGACCACTGAGAGGAAGTCTTCTAGTCTGAACATCACAGCAGAAGATTCACTCATTCACAATCTGTCCTCCTCATCTGACTTAAGCCCCAGCAGCATCACTAAAGCAGAGAACGAGAACACCACAATTAAAACAGAAGAGAGAGATGCATCCATCCCAGAGGATACAGCGAGTGATTCAGTCTTACCTTCAAAGGGCATCACCACTAGAGGTGGTGAAAATTTCTGTTTTGTTTGTGGAAAGCCACAAATCAAAATAGCTCGACATTTTATAGTGCATAAGCGTGACAATGCTGAAATTGCACGAGCACTCAGTTTACCAGCTCACTCCAAGAAACGAAAGGAATTGCTGCAGATGTTGCGAAACAAAGGCAACTTTATGCACAACAATGATGTGCTGAAGAAAGGATCGGGTGCCCTGAAAGTTAAACGCCGTTCTGTAAAACAAGCCTCCAACAAGTACACGTACTGTGTTTATTGCCGGGGGATGTTTATTCGCCAGGAACTCAAGAGGCACATGAAAAATTGCTCAGCCAAAAGAGACCATCTGGGAGCACTGGGTCCTGCTGAAGTGGCCAAGGCTGTAATTCCAGGTACTGTATCAGATGATGTATTAAAGTTTTCAGAGTATAGGATGAGGAAATTTAACACAACTCATGTCCTAAGCCAGGGGTCACCAATCTCGGTCCTGAAGGGCAGGTGTCCCTGCAGGGTTTAGCTCCAACTTGCCTCAACACACTTGCCTGGATGTTTCAAGTATATGTAGTAAGACCTTGATTAGCTTGTTCAGGTGTGTTTGATTAGGGTTGGAGCTAAAATCTGCAGGACACCGGTCCTCCAGGAACAAGTTTGGTGACCACTGTCCTAAGCAATTTGTTAGAAAAGATTTCTACCTTATTAAATCCAATCTTCTTCTCTGTTCATTTCTTAAATGATTTTGAAAACATATCACAAATCCATGGAACTCATAGAACTACATTTACATTCATAAATATTGTTCTGCTTTGTTCTTCCTGAGCACGAGAGGCAATGCTTCACACTGGATGATTTGTAGCCACAAGGTAACAAGGAGGTCCTGTTTACCTGTAGAAGGGCAGGTGTTTCAAAAGTGTCTGTTGCAGCCAGATTAAATCTGTTGAATTGGAAAAAAAGGTATTCATTGAAGACCAAGAAGCAGTCACACAGATATGACTATGGGGAACACCCTTTAGCGCTGACCAAGAAGTCAAGATGCTTCTTTTAGAATAACACCTTACTCCTAATTGCAATGGGATTCACTTGACTCATAAGCATGGGTGATAACCTCAACCACCAAATGTAAAAGTTTCTGTTTAGGAGAGGCTCTCCCAAAACAGAGAGAAATTGGCTCTAATGTAGTTACAGAGAGCCCTTATGAATGATTCGAGTCTATAATTGTTGCACACCTCTTAGAATTGGAGTAACCAAAACATGAGATCCCAAAGGCTGACCATCAACTTGAACATATGCTGAAGTTGCAGCTACCAAGACTCGTGGTAGAAACTGCCCAATAATTATTTAGCAGCAATTGCAGAAAATGGAGCACAGATGCAGCAGGACATGCCTCTGTGGCACTTTGTCAAACCTCAAAACCATATATCCACTACCTTTGGCTTGACGCTTTACTTCCCTGATGAGTGTGACGTAACCAGAAATCTGCCATGGTATGTTTCTCTCCTGTTATGTGCATTGCCCTAATGTTCGCTAACTGATGGAAGACCTAAGTCAACAGATCTTGTCATACTTGAGGAGACTGGCTGAATATTGTGCCCTGTTGATGGATGATGTGATTAATCACGGATGCATTGTCTGATCTGACAAGAACATGTCTGCCTTCCAGATATAGGGCAGAGTGGTTCAGTGCCAGAAGAACTACTTCATAGCTCCGAGGTGTTGATATTCTCCCCTATTTGCTTGCAGTCCCATTGCCCTCTAACAGTTCTGTGCTGCCAGACTCTTTCCCAGAAAGAAAGATAAGCATCCATCTGGACTACTTCCAGTAAGGATGGAATCCCACACAAAGCAATATGCTTTTTTTTAGTAAGTTCTCCATGGTTTCAGTGTGAGAACTTTTGGTGTAAGTTAAATCCTCTTATTCATGTGCCTCCTGGGACATAGGTGAAATATGTGCCTCCAAAAGGGACTGAGTCAGGGGAGGCCCAATGGTTCAACTGCTGCCACTGCCAGCATACCCATGAGTTTGAGGAAGTACCAGAATGGTTGCCCTCCTGCCTTTAAAAATGTTGGGGGAGACGTAGAGTACTGTCTACCTGCTGTTCTTATGCTCTTATCATTATTTGGGTCTTGGACAACCCCAGTGTACTTCACAGACTAGGTTGGAATTAGCTGGGGTTGTGTTGATAGAATAAGATTAAATAAGAGCACTCAGACACTGATAAAACTGATCTTAGACTGCAAAGCAATAACGCACCTGTCTTATATGCTTGTATGAGAAGACCTTCTGTATTATGGCACTGAGGCCACAGCCAAAAGACATTAGGTCTCAAGAACTTATATGGAGACAGAACACAAGAGGCAATAATAGCTGACTGTTGAATCACCCCTCTAAAGAAAACAGAAGTTGAGGTAGCTGCTGCTGAGGATGTATCAAGATCCATGCATGCAAAAATACCTGCAATGTTAGGGTATACTGTGATTGTCTGTGGTAGTTATTCTACAGTAATGTGTATATTCCATGCAAAATATAAAGCTGGTCGGTCAGTTCTTGTCATGTAACTTGTGGTGCGCTCACAGCATTCAAGTTGAGGTGTTTTCAACTGGATGCACCTGAAAGGCCCAAGGGCATCACTTGCATGTGTCCTTCTCAACATGCGCTCTAAAGCCCTGCAACTGCATAAGACATAACAAACTTGCTCACAGAAAAGACACAATTTGCAGTTGACCTTTTTCTTGCACAAACATGCTGCATTTGCCTGATTTGTTGACAATGGGTTGCGGATTCAATCCTTGGCAGCTTGTTGGTCCTTCACTGGGCCTTTTCCCCTTCGCATTTCCCCTTAATCATTTTTCATAATAAAAGATTGTTCAGACTCCGGTAATAAATAAAATGAAAATACCCAATGATTTCTTCTGCGGACCAATTGATCCACCGACCAGTGCCAGTTTGCTCCCGGGTGTTGAGAACCACTGCTGAAACACTTGCATGTGAGAGGTTATAAGGACAGCGTAGCAAGGTACAGGGTTAAATGGGGAGTACCTTAAGTCTTCCTACGAGGGAGACTTGGCGTGCATCTGCGATGGGATGACATCCAATGCGAAGCACTGCCTCTGGGGGTCCGGAAGGATGAAATGGAACAACAATGCTAGTTGCTATTGCCTGGAAACCGAAATTGATTTGTGATAATTATTTTATTGCAAAATATAAAGTAATTTTGTTAGATATTTTAAAATTTAACTAACCTAAACTATACTGATTTTTAAAAAAGCACATGTTTTTGCTTTGTAACTGCACAGCTACCTTTCAGAAATCATCTCATATTGTGTATGTGTGTGTGTGTGTGGTATTAAGTTATTTGATTTTTTTTTTTTTAGATTTAGTTTAAGTTTTCCTTATTACTTATAAGTATTTTTAATAGTTTTCTGTTTTTGTGTATTTGTTTTTAGTGTGCTCTGCTGTGTTGGAATCTCACAGTTTCCACAAAAAGAGTGTGCCTGTAAGTAACCTTTAACATATTCATTCCATTTATTCAGTCAACCTGTGAGGCTGTGCAGTAGTTATGTGTTCATGATGGGTTGCAACTGGAAGTGTTGTCCGAAGTACCAGCTTGTATTAATATTTAATAATGTGACATTAGCAATATTTCCCTGATATTTTGAAGCTGCTGAGTGTATTCTTGATACTTATGGGAAATAACTGGAATATTTAAACTAACATTCTAATAATCTAAATTTCAGAAATGTAATCACACCTGTTCTCAGTCTATTTCTAATAATACAAGCTTAAACTAATAATGCTGCTGAATATTTATTTTATCAGGGTTTATCTGAAAGCTGTGAACAAGAATTGCCATCGGTTGAAGAGTTTGTCCCTGAATCGCAGTCTGGCTTGAACTCAAACACAGAATTGGATTTAGAAAGGTCCACCAGCAACACTACAGAGAACTTGCTGGAGCCTTGCATGACCAGTGAGAAAAAGGCCTCCAGCCTGAACATCACAGCAGGAGATTCACTCATTCACAATCTGTCCTTCTCACCTGACTTAAGCCCCAGCAGCTTTATTGAAGCAGAGGACGAGAACACCACAAATAAAAGAGAAGAGAGAGATACATCCATCCCAGAGGATACAGCGAGTGATTCAGTCTCGTCTTCAAAGGGCATCACCACTAGAGGTGGTGAAAATTTCTGTTTTGTTTGTGGAAAGCCACAAATCAAAATAGCTCGACATTTTATAGTGCATAAGCGTGACAATGCTGAAATTGCACGAGCACTCAGTTTACCAGCTCACTCCAAGAAACGAAAGGAATTGCTTCAGATGTTGCGAAACAAAGGCAACTTTATGCACAACAATGAAGTGCTGAAGAAAGGATCGGGTGCCCTGAAAGTTAAACGGCATTCTGTAAAACAAGCCTCCAACAAATATACATACTGTGTTTATTGCCGGGGGATGTTTATTCGCCAGGAACTCTGGAGGCACATGAGGAATTGCTCAGCCAAAAGAGACCATCAGGAAACACTGGGAGCATTGGGTCTTGCTGAAGTGGCCAAGGCTGCATTTCCAGGTACTGTATCGGTTTGATTTAAACTTTTTGAAGGAATGAAAGAGTCATTCATGTTTTAACATACTTTATATAAACTTATTATAAAGGCTAGTTAGATATTTTTAACATGATTTTTTTTACTAGGAATTTAAATCCTTATGTACTCCCTAGACAGTTGTGGATCACAGCATATTGATGTTTTCTTCTATTTTTGCCTTTTTTTTTAAATGTTTTTTTAAAAGAAAGCCTTACATTTTTCCTAATAAGTCCTGCAGAAACTCTGTCATGGCCTTAATAGTTTGCCCAATTTGTAAAGTGCAATTCTAAAAAGATTTGTGTCTAACACGGTTCTTTTTAAACTGCTTATTACTTAAATATTACCAAAAATATTACTAGTCTGTGACCATTTCGTCTTGCTGCTTATCAAAGTCACGTGACTTTTGTGTAGATTATTATTTTTTTTTTAGTTTTTCATCCATTCTGTTTTTGTCTAATTAATTTCATTTTTCCTTTTAGTGTGCTCTTCTGTCTGGTATTCACACAGTTTCCAGAGTAAAAGTGTTCCGGTAAGTAACTAACACAGCAGATTAGACCTACATGAGAGATTTGTGTCTTTAAGAGTTTAGTATAAATAAGTAATAGCTGAAATATTAAAACAGAAACGCAAAACTATTTCAGAAATGTAGTCACATCTGTACTCAGTCTATTACAAATAATAAATAGTAAACTAATAATGCTGTCTACAATTTATTTTTCTACAGGATTTACCTGAAAGCTGGGACAAAGAATTGTCATCAGTTGAAGAGTTTGTCCCTGACTCACAGTCTGGCTTGAACTCAAACACGGAATTGGATTTAGAAAGGTCTATCAGCAACTCTACTGAGAACTCTCTGGATCCTTGCATTACCATTGAGAAGTCCTCCAGCCTGAACATCACAGCAGGAGATTCACTAATTCACAGAATGTCCTTTTCACCTAACTCAAGCCCAAGCATCATCACTGAAGCAGAGAACGAGAACACAACAAATAAAAGCGACGAGAGAAATAGATCCATCCCAGAGGATACAGCGAATGATTCAGTCTCGTCATTAAAGGGCGTCACCACTGTGTCTGGAGGTGGTAAAAATTTCTGTTTTGTTTGTGGAAAGCCACAAATCAAATTAGCTCGACATTTTAAAGTGCATAAGCGTGAAGATGCTGAAATTGCACGAGCACTCAGTTTACCAGCTCACTCCAAGAAACGAAAGGAATTGCTGCAGATGTTGCGAAACAAAGGCAACTTTATGCACAACAATGATGTGCTGAAGAAAGGATCGGGTGCCCTGAAAGTTAAACGACATTCTGTAAAACAAGCCTCCAACAGGTATACATACTGTGTTCATTGCCGAGGGATGTTTGTTCGCCATGAACTTAAGAGGCACATGAAAAAATGCTCGGCCAAAAGAGACCATCAGGAAGCACTGGGTCCTGCTGAAGTGGCCAAGGCTGCATTTTCAAGTACTGTATAGGAGTGTCTTAAAATTCCTTCAGAAGATTAAGAGATGCCAAGTGTGAATCAGCAAAACCTGTGTTGTATTCAGTTAGTCAAATCTGTCTCCAGATTGTGTGTCTTTCACCACAAGGATGTCTGCAAAAGCAAAAATACAACAAAAAAATGTTGTCTACTGCTGAACAAAGACATTGATAACCTTACAACTTCTTGAAGGTGCTTCGCATTCAGCTTTCAAAAGAACTCTGACAATCACTAGAGATATAATATTCAATCAACGACAGTCCGAAGAAGTCCCTGAGTACCTGACATCAACTATGAAAGCACATGGCTGCAACATCACAAATACTAAATCTGAAAGATAATGAACGAATGAATAATGAAATAATGAAAAAGTTTTTAGGGAGATGATGTGAGAAGACTTCAAGAGTATTATTAGTATGCCAGCTGCAAACATTAAAATTGCAGAATCTTCAAAAATACTTTACAAGGATGATTTCTCAGTGAAATTCAAGGTAATTACAATTCAAATATTAAGTACGTTATATCAATGTTATAATTTTCAAAAGTTTTTCTGAACACTTTTTCTGTAGCACTGGCTAAGGTGTCTTTTGAGTACTTAATATTTTTTCATATTATGGAAGTCAGTTTTATTCAGTTGCCTATTCATTTATTTATTTTCTTACACTTTTCCTGGGCCGAGTTGCGGGGACAGCAATCTCAGGAGAGAACCCCAGACTTCCCTTTCTCCAGACATTTCCTCCAGCTCCTCCGGGGGAATCTCGAGGTGTTCCCATGCTAGCCGAGAGACATGGTCCCTCCAGCATGTCCTGGGTCTTCCCCGGGGCCTCGTCCTTGTGAGACATGCCTGGAACCCTAGGTAGGCGTCCAGGAAGCATCTGAAACAAATGCCCAAGCCATGTCAGCTGACTTCTGTCGATATAGAAGAGTAGTCTTCCTCCATGGTCTCCCCAACTCTTCCCAGGCATGAATTTTTGCTTTTGCAACCTACCAGGCTACAGCACGCTTGGCCTGTCGGTGCCTATCAGCTGCCTTGGAAGTCCTACAAGTCAACTAAGCCCTGTAGGACTTCTTCAGCTTAATGCCATTCCTTTCTTTTGTTTGTGGATTGCTGCCTCAACAGGCACCACAGACCTTACAGCCACAGCTTCTCATGGCTGCGTCAACAATGGAGTCGAAGAACGTGGACCACTCGGTCTCAATGTCTTTAGCCTCCCTTGGAATCTGGTCAAAGCTATTCCGGAGGTGAGAGTTAAAAATCTTTTTTACTTGAGGTTCAGCTAGACGTTTCCAGAAATCCCTCACTATACATTTGGGCCTGCCAAGTCTGTCCAGATTCGAACTCACCACCAGGTGGTATCAGTTGACAGTTCTGCCCCTCTCTTTACTCAAGTGTCTAAGACATACGGACGGAGATCAGATGAGACAACCACAAAGTAAAATTATCTACCTAGGGTCTCCGGGTGCCATGTGCACTGATGAACACCCTTATGCTCGAACATAATGTTTGTTATGGACAAACTGAGTAGCACAGAAGTCCAGTAATAGAACACTCTCCAGGTATCACTATCATTACCCACGTGGGCGTTAAAGTCCCGCAGTTGAATACCTCTGAGCACCTTTCAGCACCCCTCCCCAGAACTCCAAGAAGGCTACTTTGCACTAGTGTTTGGCCCATAGGCACAAACTACAGAGAGAGACCTATCCATGACCCGAAGGCACAGGGAGGTGAACCTCTGATTCATCGAGGAAAGCTTCAACAAATGGCAGCTAAGTTGCGGAGCTATAAGCAAGCCCACACCAGCTCGCCGCCCCTCACCCTGGGCAACTCCAGAGTAGAAGAAAGTCGAGCCCTTTTCAAGAAGTTGAGTTCCAAAGCACAATCTATGCGTGGAGGTGAGCCCGAATATCTCTAGTCAGTACCCTTCAACCTCCTGCACAAGCTTGGGCTCTTTCCCTCCCAGTGAGGTGAGATGTCTCAAGAGCCAGTTTCTGTGCCCAATGATTGAGTTGTCGTGGTCCTAACAGTCGACCACCACCCTTTTTACAATGCATTAGCCCCTTACTGCTCCCCCTGAAGGTGGTGGGCCTGCTGGGGGATGTTCCCACATCCCCTTTGGGCTGAGCCTGTTCCACGGGATAAAAGAAGTCTGGCTATAGAGTGGGCCAGGGCTTCGCCATACAAGATCCTCTGTTTTTGCGCTCATCAAGAGATTGGGTTCAGTTGTCCATATTCTTCAAAATATTTTGTTTGAGAAGAAACTCATTTAAAATAAAGTAAACTCAAAAGTGTGCCGATTAAGAGCCAAGAAATAAAATGTTTTTCTGAACTTTAAATGATGTAAATATAGCAGGTTTGTGAATGTTATAGGCACTTTAAAAATTACACCTTCACCTTTCCTCATTGCATATATATACACAAGCTTCATGCTGAAAATGGCTCAAATTGTCAATCACTTGACCAGAATAAGGTATTCCATTACCTAAATACTTTAAGATCTACCTAAAAACTTTGAAATAGTAGTTTACCCATTGTCCATCTCAGAATAAAAGGCTGTAGATGAGAATATTGAATATCTGTCAAACAGATTTTTTTGTCTTTATAAAGGATGGATGCTTGTGGACATGTATTGACTATTGGACCTTCAACTACAAATTTTCAAATACCCATATCTGATCCTACTGGTACTGGCTGCCCTGGAGAAACTTTGTGGACCTTGCATGTTTCTCAAACTGAATGTGCAAAGGGCCTACGACCTTGTTTGTTCTGGATGAATAGATGCTTTCTTGGCTTTGGTAACTTATCTCCACTCATCCACTGGTTCAGCATGATCAATAACCATGTTTCTACTATCATGCCAGTGTGTGCCTGGGCCAGTTGTTTTTACACAGTAACTTCTGGGACTTGAGCAGCCCTTTTGGGGTATTTCACCCTGTCCAATATCTTGGGCCGAAGCAGGCTAGCTGGCTAACTTCTTCCTGCTAAACTGGCCGGGTTGTGTGATGTTTGTTGCCTAAGCATCCATAGGGTGGGGGTTTTGATATTGGTTCTACAAGGGAAATACATCATGATTGTGCCTCACTGCTTGAGCGCCACTAATATTGGCCCCAGCCTGCTCTATGGAAGCTCTAGTACACACTGGCCTGACAGTTGAAAAGTGGCTACTGCATAGACTTTGTGAGCCCTCAAGAGCTACAATCAGCCAAAGAAAACCATTTGCACAGGCCATTTGTCGTTGAAGTCTTTAAATCTTGAGCCATTGGCCATCAAGCTTACCCTGAAAAAGGGACACTGGCTGCAGGAAGTTGTACAATAATTTGAGGTCATCACTGATAAACAGAGACATGAAAGCAGGTGAAGGACATAGAGGTTCTGTGACTCTATGAACCTTTAAGCAAATACCGTCACGTTTTTTTTTCTTTTTTCAGAAAACATACTCCCTGTCATAATTATAAATGTTGTTCAGTGGATGTTGAATGAAGTAATTTGCTAAGCTTTCTAGACCAGACCCTTGTTGGTCTAGACTGGAATATCTGCATAAAGTCTGCTCTTTGCAACACTCTTCTTACCTTTCCACTTACATGGTAAAGAACAACTATTCCACCAATCTTAGCATTCCAGAGGGATTGATGTAGATATATTCACCGCTACATAGATGACCATAAACAACACTGGAGTCACTACCTTCTCTTGGTTGTGTATTCACATAATTCCTTCAGACAGAACACCACTTGTCTTATGCCCTCCTCTGACCTTCTTGGCTTCCACACTTTCAGAAGACTAGAGAGCTGCCCAAGGTTCCAGCTGTGAATTACTGCCTTCTGTCCTCACTTTATTTGGTGTTTCACCATCTGGAGGCAGTTCAGCAACATCACTTTTCAGATGAGTCTTCTGATGAAACTGATTATCATCACTAAGGAAGAGACCGTTTATCTGTTAAACATCATCGACTCTTGACATCAACCTAGCTGCTTGGATCACTTCTATGCATTATCCTTCCCAGTCGATTATGTAAAGTCTGTTGGTGCATACAAAGGATATTCTGAATCCATTACTACATGATAATTTCCCTAATGTCTGTCTAGATCAGGGATGAGCTAACTTGGTCCTGGAGGGTCAGTGTCCTGCAGAGTTCCCCCCCCCCCAACACTAATCAAACACACCTGAACATGCTAATCAACATCTTCAAGATCACTAAAGATCTTTAGACAGTTGTGTTTGTTAGGGTTGGCGCTAAACTCCGCAGGACACCGACCCTCCAGGACTGGGTTTGCCCATCCCTGATCCAGATCGTCATACATTCAGGGGCCATGGCTGTCCTCAAAGATGAGAGCAACTGTTAAGATCCCTTCAATGAGGTGGGGGTGTTGTTACAAAAACTCCAGCTTTGTTAGACCCAATCACTCATCAAATATAAGCACAATCACCTGAATTCTGATCTGCTGCACCTCAAGTCTGCCTCTTATACACATCTGCCATGCATACATATTTTCTTGTCTTGAGTACATGATGCTACTCCTTACCTTATCCACTTACTGGCTCTTGCCTGTCTTGTTGTCGGAATCATCTTGCCTCAGTTGCTGGTCCCGAGAATAAGCAAAAAGATTACAATAAAAAGATTTTCCCAGGCTCTCCGGTTTTCTCCCACAATCCAAAAAAAAAAAAAAAACATGTACCATTGACCAAACCAAATTGACACCATAGACATGCAATTAATCAGCAATATATCTCTCCATAGTTATTTAAAATTTGTATTCACTATTAACAAGCAGGCCAGTTCTCGAGACCTACCTGAGGGCAATCTCCCCTCTTACCCTGCATAAGCAAGGGAGCCCCGGGCTCAAGGATCTCATGAGCTCAGGGCTCTCCCCTGGGAAAGCATGCCAAACACACTTTATAATCAATCATCAGCTATGTGTGAACTCTTGAAATAGATTTTTGTCAGCAGAACAGCTACTTTATATACAGAACTGGTTTTGGTCACTTTTTTCTGCAAATGTTAGACTTGACTATGTTAACTGTGTGTGTGTGTGTTTTTTTTTTTTTTTTTTGTAGATCTTGACAAGCAAAAGAGGAAGAAAAGGACTCGTGAAAAGAGTTTGGACCACCTCAGAAGTCTAAGCAGTCATGGACATAAAAGCACGTTGGGGAGTACATAAGTAAAGAAGTAGCAAGAGAGTGAATTCTGCAAAAAGAATGCACACACCATTCTTGGTTGACTGGCACAATCAAATCAAACTGCTGTCTTGCTTGAACATTAAAAAAAAACTGCTGTTTGTAGTTTTTGTGTCTTGTTAAACCAACGTTTTCATATTTTATGGCATTATGTTAACCACAAAAAGAAAATTCCATCTTCATTTCCTTGAATGAAGTTGTACTAAACCTTGAGGATTTACTGTTTTTCTTTTTCTGGTCCCCATCATAGAACTTTCAAAAATATGAAGCACCTGTTTTTTGGATGTTCAAATAATCCAAATAGTACAGTTGTCAAAAATATATATTTTTTGACTTTATTTTTGCGCCCGGTAAATCATATGGGGCTGTTTTTAAACCCTCATCTAGAATTTGATTGTCATAAAACAATAGTGACAACACTGATGACTGCTGTAAAGATGTATAATATTATGAAATAATATTGTATATAATATCTGGTATGTAATACCAGACTGTTTATTAGTCATTTCAAATGATGTGCGTTAAAGGTTTTGTACTGAAAGGTATACTTACTGAAAATGGAGGATTTGGATTCTGTGTCAACCTAAAAACCATTTTAACTTGACTTACTTATTCTTCCAGTTCTGTGTCATTCCCTTTTAAATAAAACGTTGTGTCTTGTACTTAATGTTCTTGCTATTTTTTGTAAGGCAAAATCACCTTTGATTATGTAGGTAAGGTGTCTCTTAGTTTTTTTTTTAAAGCATGCTTCTCAGTAATTAGTAATAGGCAATATGTACATTTCATCCACAGCTAATGTGTGCAACACATGACCCAATATTTTATAATATTTGTATGCAGTAATTTCTTTTTGGTTAAATGTTAAATTTAGGTAATCTAATTCTGGTCTCTGTGAGATTCAGTATGGCCCCTTTCGATCAAATGCAGAGTGCTGTTGGGCTATGGGGGTAGCCATGTTCGATTTTGGAGTGCCACTATCTAGCCTTGCGAAAAAAGAAGCACCTGCCTGTACCTTACTAGCAATGCTCGTATCTTGATTGGATTGTTCAAGTGTGCATGCTAAAGGTTCTGCAGGATTTTGGCTCTCCTTGACTAAACTTGCTTACTCTTGCCTTATGTATACCACTTAGACAAATCTTGGTACTAAGAGTACAAGTTCATGACAAACTCTCCTAAGATGGTCTCTTTAAACACCTTGACCTTTGATTCAGAATTCTGCTTAACTTGGCTCAACAGAGTCCTACAAATGTGCTCAAGAGTGTTAAGGCTTGGGTTTTTTCACTGTGGGAGGGGTAAATATACTGTACTCATAGATGAAAATACAGGCAATGAGGAGAGAGTACAATCTTCTGTTTCAGAATTTTTGTATTACATCACAGTGCTGTGCAAATATATGACAGCGTAGCATTGACAAAGCACAACTCTCGAATCTTCAGATGTCGAAAATACCAGTATAAGAACTTTTTATTAATATATTTTAGTGGTTCTTAATCTTAATTAGATAGGTCAGTGGAGTGGAGACAGGACATGCATGAGGCTGAGAGAGCTGGGAAGGATCGTCAAAAGACCTGAAGCCAGGAATCGAACTCTGGTCACCATGAGCATTTCGGTACCAAATGTCAATGCTCTTAACCACTAGGCCAGGGACCACCAAACTTGTTCCTGGAGGTTCGGTGTCCTGCAGATTTTAGCTCCAACCCTAATCAAACACACCTGAATAAGCTAATCAAGGTCTTACTAGGTATACTTGAAACACCCAAACAGGTGTGTTGAGACAAGTTGGAGCTAAACCCTGCAAGCCACCAGACCTCCAGGAACGAGATTGCTGACCCCTGCACTAGGTTATTGGTGCAAGAAGCATATCAAAACCTCATGGTGCCCCTGGGTAACAAGCCTACGAGTGCCTCCAGTTTTTTGTAAAATGGCTAGGGTTAACATAAAGTTACTTAGCTGCTGGCGCCCTAGTAGTGACCATGTAAGTTTTTGGATTTCGATTTTTTTCCATATGTGATTATCTTTTTTTGGCATTTAGTCTATATGGGTAAAGTTCGACAGCTTTTTTTCCTCAAGAAAAGTAGTTCTTTTAATCTTCTTGGTTTAAGTCAGGGGTCACCTAATTTGGTCCTGGAAGGATGGTGTCATGCAGAGTTTAGCTTCAACCCTAATCAAACACCCCTGAAGGAGCTAATCAAAGTCTTAATAGGTATACTTGTAGGTTCCATACTGGTGTGTTGAGGCAGGTTAAACTAAACACTGCCGGACCAAGTCTGGTGATCCTTGGTTTAAGGTAACAATCACTTTTGAGTTAGGAAACCTCCTTGAAGACATTGATTAAGTGTTTTGTCTTTCTCTTCTCAGACCTGATGCCACTGAAAAGGGAGATTCAAGAATATCTGATTGAGAACCATAACGACTTCATACCTACAGAAAGTGAATTCATTTGCTCGCAGACTATGATGAGCTCACAAAAGGCTGCTCAAACAACAAAGACCGCACATCCTCTCAAATGCGACCAGTGCGGGAGAGGTTTTACTAAAAAGGGACACCTCAGAAACCACATGAGGACTCACAATGGAGAGAGCTCTTTCACCTGCCAACAGTGTGGAAAAGGTTTCACTCAAAAGTCAAACCTCAGAAACCACATCAAAATTCATATCGCGAAAAACGCTTTGACCTGCCAACAGTGTGGCAAATCTTTCAGTAATAAAGACTACCTTAAACGACACATGAGAGTTCACACTATAGAGACTTCTCACACGTGCCCTCAATGCGGAAAGAGTTTTGCAGACGAATCGATATGTATCGCCCACATGAGCAGTCACACTGGAGAAAAACCATTTGTGTGTGATCAGTGTGGGAAGAGCTACACAAGTCGGAGTAACCTTAAATACCACATGAATGTTCATGCAAATGAGAACAGTTTTATGTGCCATCACTGCGGAGTGCGTTTCAGAAGAAGCGCTCAACTGAAGACTCATGTAGAAACCCACATCGAACTGGTGCCTTTAATGTGTCGTCAGTGTGGAAAAACGTTCTCAACAAAAGAAAACCTCGAAGTTCACATGAGAAACCACTCTAAGGAAAGACCTTACACCTGTCAACAGTGCGGGAAGCGTTTCATCCGGAATGCAAGTCTTAAAGAGCACATGATAATTCACACTGGAGAGAAGCCACACATCTGCCAACATTGCGGGAAAAGCTTCTTTCGAAAAGCATACCTTGATATCCACATAAGGGTTCACACCGGAGAAAAACCGTACACCTGCCAAGATTGTGGAAAGAGTTTCATCCGGAAAGCACACCTTAATACCCACGCGAAAGTTCACAGTGGGGAGAAACCTTACAGTTGTGAACTTTGCGGGAAGACCTCCTATCGGAAAGAAGACATTAAAAGGCACATGAGAGTTCACACCGGAGAGAGGCCTTATCGCTGCTCCAAGTGTGGAAAGGGCTTCACATGTACAAGAAGCTTAAGGAGGCACACAAAAATCCACCTACTGTAGAAAACAGGCAGAAGTCTAATAATCATGGATACCCTCAGCAGAGAGAGAACTCTTTCATGGAACGCAAAGGAAAAGTGTCCCTCTAAACCAGGCATGTCCAAACTCGGTCATGGAGCACCGGTGTCCTGCAAAGTTTAGTTCCAACCCCAATCAAACACACCTGGGCTAGCTAATCAAGCTCTTACTAGGCTTTCTAAAAACACCCTTGCAGGTGTGTTGAGGCAAGTTGGAGCTAAAATCTGCAGGACACTGGCCCTCCAGCACCAAGTTTGGACACCCCTGCTCTAAACAAAAGAATCTCATGCACCAAAGGAACCTGAAAAGCATTCATTCAATCATTTTTCTTCTTATTAGTCCCTTATTTATTAGGGGTCGCCACAGCAGAATGAAGCATCAATTATTCAGGCATCTGTTTTACACAGTGGATGCCCTGCCGGCCGCAACCCAGTTCTGGGAAACACCCATACACTCTCAGATTTCCCAACACATTCATACACTATGGCCTACGACTGTCGGGGAAATCGGAGCACTCGAAGGAAACCCATGACAACAATGGAAGAACATACATACTCCACACAGGAATGACTCAAACCAGCGACCTTCCTGCTGTGAGGCACTGAACCACCGTGCAACCCACATCAAAACATTATAGAAGTTTAAACAATTTCAGAAATATACTGCTGATCTACCCTCTTCATCAGTGTATCACTCCGCCCGCAGAGAGTACCACACAGAAGACTAGAGTCACTATAGATTGACAATTACCGCCGCTGTTAGACCACAATGTATATTTGATACTTTTTAGGCGGTAATGTAGTTGCTTAGACTGTAAATATGCCGTTTATTTACAGGTACAGCGTCTATTATAAAATGTGTTTAGAAGATTTTGGAAGTGGGACTTCTAGCATGCCGGTGTCCTACCTTGTCAGATTATCCTACCTCCCATTCAAAAGGTAGGTAGCACATTTTGATGATGCAATATGCTACCCATCTGATTTTGCCACCAGTGTAGATTTAATGTGGAGTAGTGTGATATGAAGCTATAATGTCACCCTGACCCCCCAACCTCACAGCCATTCAAATACAGTGTTGGGCGCATGATCTGATGGGTGGGATACAACGTCAGGACACCGCAGACACTTATTGAAGATTTGGATGTGTGTCTGTACAGTAGTCTGTTGTGTAGTGTAATGTGTTTAGGCTATATCTAAAGGCAGTGTTTGGTCACTTATCTGTTATTTACTCTAGAGCAAATAGATTTCACTGCAATGTTAAGTTTAACAGCTTACACTTGAAAACTTGGTCGTTGCTCTGTAGACTGATTTACGTAGCATCTTTAAATTATTGTGTTAGTGTTATTGTGCATTTAGTGACATTTGATATGAACTGCAGTGATATTTAATAATAAAAATGCTTTGTATTACAAACTGCAGCATTGAGTGTGATTGGCAGGAGGAATGTGAAGGGAGCAAACTATTTCCTCAGGACATTTTAAACTACAGCTGAAACAGGGTTGGACTAAAATAAATTGAAGTTTACTGGAAAATAAATACTAAATAACACAAATTTAAGTGTTTAAAAATAGACAACAAAATACAGCAGCCATGTGTAACATGTATTACATGTCTGAAAAGCTCCAGAAGTGTATATTTCTGTTGCACTATATATATATATATATATATATATATATATATATATATATATATATATATATATATTATTTAAAAACTGACATGCATTAACAGAATTGTTTTCTTAGGCTGTTCTAAAACACATAAAAAACCATTCATGTTCACAAATATTGAAGACGCACCCTACTGTCAGGAGAATCTCATGAATATTCATGTCAGCGCCACTAATATTTCAGGATATACCTGTAGATCACACAGGCGTGTTTTAGTGAAGTGAAAGAGTGAAAGAGCTCAGATTGTGTTCCTGCTGCACAAGAGCGTCTGTACTTCTGCAAGTAAGTTTAATATTTCTACTTTTACGCTGATTTGTGGAGATGATGAAGGGGTTTTATATGTGTGAGTGTGATTTAAATGTCTGATCCTGAAGATCAAATCCTCAAACTTTGATTAAACAAACTTTTGATTTTTGTCAAAACAGTCATTTAAACTTAAACTTAAAACTTTAATTTTAATTCCTTGAAAATGTTTGTACTCTTCTATATCAGGGTGACTTGATCATTTCAGATCATTCAGCACAAAACTAAATTTTAAACATTAGGAGTTTCGAACTCGAAAGTAAAGTTAAACCAGATGTTCCAGTTGAACAGGAAGAAACTGCTGAAAAACAACAAGCTGCTGTTTCTTATACAATCTGCATTTAACCCTTAACTGCCAGCTTGACGCGCTTTTAGTACTAACTAAATAAATACATAAAAAGTTATGACAAAATATTTAATCTTATTTTATTGGTCTGCTTTGAGTATTCTTAAAGAGATCTCTCAGATTTAATCTCAAATACCCGTTTTACCTTCCTCAAATATTCTATTAACACACTTGTGCTCAGAGAAACAGTATGAATATTTTCAGCTGCAGTGGTTTGGGTGTTGTTTTGATGACTCGTCCACAGTTATTAATATTTCAGGATATACCTGCAGTAGTGTTGTCAAAAATATAGGTATTTCAAAATGCATCGATACTGGATTATCTAAAACAATACAGTTTTGCTTTTGGTTGGTATTGATAGCGGCTTTGGTCTCTTGAGGGTTGATACACACTGCACATGAGCACAGTCTATCAGTCCTACAATGTAATCTGATGAATGGCTGAAGGGTAAATGCCTGTAAGCCTTTTCTAGTGCTTCTGGAATCTTTGTTTTAAGTGACAATTGAATTTAGACTATTTCTGATTATAAACAGGTCACATTTGTCGTGTATGAATTAATTTAGAGTTTTGATTTATATCTGCTCCTATACTCTTCAATTATACATTTAAATTAGAATCAAACGCCACTTAGAGTTTCATGTCCCGGGTTTACGTGTTTGTCACAGACTTGATCTCAATGTTCTGAAGTTAGTCAGAGGATGCAGAGGTAACTAATACCTCACAAGTTGGTTGCCTTCTGCTCACTTGTACTAAAAGTGTAGTTCATTTAGTTTTTTTCCACACAACTTGCTACTCTTAGTGATTAAACAGAAATAATAAGGTCTTCACGCTGCTGTGCCTCTTGCTCCATACAGTCATATGAGCTTAAAAACCTATTAAATCATGTAAAGTAACAAATTACAAATACTCAAAATACTGTAATTGAGTATTTTCCTCAAAATATTGTAATTTATTAAGTTGTTTTATAAATGTGTATTGTACTTTACCTTGAGTACATGTTTATTGCAGTATCGGTACTTTTACTCCACTACTGTCATCTAACCTGCAGTCACTACATTATTTTCTTTTGTCTATGGGGATTAGAGAAGTCAGTCCTGTGATTCCTGACCAGTCAAATCACACATAGAAGGTGAATCAGATCATAATGAACTACCTCAAGACATGGAGATTTATAATTGCAAAAAACTGTTTGGAAGCATTAATCATGTCCAAGAAGATGTCCAATATCTTTACAAGCATTGACCCACTGTTTAGATGCAGGTCACTGATAAGAAAATGACGGATGTTTACTGTATGATGAAACTGGCCTTAAACACCCAGCAGGCACCCCAGGTGAAAAAAAATATATAATTAAATGCAAATAAAATACACTTAAAAACCCACAAATACATTTTTAGTACATTGTTATTTTTTTGTGTTAAATAAAAGTTTGATGGTTTTACACTATAAATATACTAGTTAAAAGTATGTTTATACTTCAGTAGGACTTTAGTACACTTGACAAAAGTATACTAAATACCAGTAATACTTAAATATATGTTTAGTGTACTACAGTAAAGTACACTCCAGAAAAAAACATCCAAAAGACTTTTTATTAGTGTGTTTTTCAAAAGTGTGCTTTAAACACTAGTACACTAGCATTTAAACATGAGTTGATTTTTAGTACACTGTTGACATACTAATCCTAAGTTTAAAATAAGTTAATATATAAAACATCTATTAGTAATGTATTGTAGTAGAAGTACATTTTCCCAAAAGTTGTACTTGAGTACACTTAATGTGAATGCAATATTATCACTAACACTTAAATAGATTTTGAGTGTGGTCATTTTAAGTTTATATTAAATTGACTTTATTAGAAATCTATTAGTAATGTATTGTAGTAGAAGTACATTTTCCCAAAATACTTTTAATACAGTATTTAGCACACTTTTTTTTTTTTACAATTTGTATATTCTTTTAATATAATACTATTATACTTTAAATTAGTCATAAATATATTTAAATGTTTAAAATTAGGGTTCAAGTGTATTTCTAGTTGTAACTAAACATTTTTTAAAGTACAGATATAGTATGTTAGAAGCACATTTTAATTTAATTTCAGGGTGTCTCAAAATAGCACAGTTGAGTGAACTTAGATGGTATTAAGCTTATCTTAACATATACTTAATACTATCTTTTAGTACATTAAGTACAAAATTAGTGTGCGAAAATAGAGCACTTTTAGTACATTACTGAAAAGTGTACTAAGTATACTTAAATAAAGTGCATTTTAGTGCACTTTTTTTTTTTTACCTGGGACAAGACATAAACATGTCGTCAGATTGATGTTGTACTCCCAATGTTGTAGGAACATTGCATTTTGTTTCCACCTCTGGATCCAGTTCTCTCACACATCCTCCAGAACATTTCCCTAACCATAGTGCTGGCCCTAACACACATCATAAACACTTTACTCCACTCTGGCACATTCCCAACCATCTCTAAGCAGGCCTGGGTAACCTCATTGCTCAACCAGGTTCTATATCATCATTTCTGCTTTTACTGGACCCGTCTGCTGCTTTGGATATAGTGAATCATCAGATTCTCCATCAGGTCTTCAGTGAGCCCAACTGAAGTGTACCACCTCTCATTACCTCTCTGCATTGGTTACCATAAGAGGATTGT